GTTTGATACCCTAGCCGCCACGATATCATTGATTTTAATGCGTATTGCGTTTCTGGGGTCATGTCGGGGACATGTCGGAAAATATCGAGCACCATTTCGACGAAGAAAAATCGGCCATATTTCATAAAAATCGGTTTTAAGCTTATTAGGTTAGGTTTGAAAAACCCGACTTGACCCAATAAGCTCATTAAACGTTTTTTAGGGTTTTTTCCCCCAAAGTCGACTGTTGGCTGCTGCTTCTCCTCTCCTTGCTCCTCTCCTCAAACTCAAAGCCGACAGATGACGCTGACGACGCCGAACGACGACGCCGACTCCTTCGCCTCCAGATCTTCCGACTGCTTCGCCTTTGGATCCGCCGCCGACCGACTCCTTAAACTCAGGTATTTTTTAGTTTTTTTTCTTGTTTTCTTCTTTTTTTTTGAAAATAATTTTTTTCTTCTGTTTTTTGCACTGAGATTATCTATTGTTGTGCTTTTTATCGCCGATCATTATCTACTGTTTTTTTCATTGATTATCTATTGTTTTCCCTTCTTTTTTGCATTGAGATTATCTATTTGTTTTCCCTTCTTTTTTTTGTTTTTGCACTGAGATTATCTATGGTTGTTCTTTTTGCACTGAGATTTGCGTTTATAAGAAAGTTTTGGAGCAAATTAAGCTTTGGAAATAGGGGATTAGAGGCAAAGATAGTGATGTTATGATGCTTGCTCCTTTGTTCATATGTTTAGACAATATAATTATCAAGTATGTGAAGATTCCATGTATGATATTATATCAACCTATCCGATATGACAATCCGATATTTTTTTTATGTCCCCCGATATATTCTCGATTTCCGCTATCCGACATGAATTTTGGTCAACCGACATGAGCCCGACATCCGATATTTAAAACATTGGGTATGGGTACGAGACACAACAGAGTTGTAAAATGTTGGGTATTGGGACACAACTACATATATAGTTTGACTTAGTAATGTACATGAGATCATTTTTTTCCGCTTTATGTGTCATTAGAATTAAAATTCCGATCAAAATTTTAAGTTTCTTTTATCATATTGATTATCATAAATTGGAAACTATTTATTTTTACTAACTAGACATCTAAACGAATCTTTAACTATATAGTTTTGAACATGGGTAGAGACTGGAATGAACCCGACCCATATCTAACTAGTTTCAAAAAATGGATATGAAGTGTAAGCCATATGTCCAAGAAATGTTTGACAAGTGTTTTAAATTAACACATACATCGTATAATTGAGTACATATCGTAATAAATGCATGCATATGTTCAAGAAGTGTCCGTGAAGTTTGGGTACGGGAAAGTGTCGGGTACGTGTTAGGTAAGGGTACGACTTCATTATAGAAGTACCCTGGTAACATAGCCTACCGGTTTGGATCTTTATTTTTTACTTGGTGAGATGCACAGTGGTTAAACATCATAATTATTTGGTTTATTTCTTTAATATAACTTGGTTGTGAAATTCTATCTTCGAAAACTCTACTTGATTATGTAATATTATCGGTAAACTTTCTTAATATTTATGTTTATGTACCTTCAACTTTTATTTTATTTCATTGTAACCATAAGTAGTGTAAGCAACAAATCATTCCAAAAGATTAGTTACTCATATGGCAACCAGTTTCTTCAATGTCTCAAACCTAATAATAATAGATGGCATTAAATCTTCTATATTAACCCCTGTTGACTATAGAATAAGAAAATCTAATAAAAGTCTCTTCATAAGTTTTCAACTATCACGTTGCTCAATTCTTATTATTTTGAAATTAACTCATCAAGTCATTAAAATAGCTAATACATCCCCAATTCTTAAGTTATTTTGATATTAACTCCTCCAATCAAGAGTAATAAAAAGCAATTAGACGGAATAAGTCCCTTGAAGTGCTAATTATACCATTGATTTGAAGGACTAATTTCAAAATAACTTAAGAATTGAGTTGCCTAATAATAATTTCAATGCTTTGATAGACTAATTTGAAAGTATGAAAAACATAAGGGACTAACATAAAAAAAAATATTTTAAGTAATCAATTGTTGTTAAAAAATTAATTTAATTTCATAATTTGTTATCAATCAGTTGGTTAATATTTACATGTGCAATGCACATTATGTTTACAATACTAATGTCTTCTAAGCTTCTTTCTACTCTTTAGTTGTCATTCTAATTAGATCATTTTTCATTAATTAGTTTTGAATGGAGTGAGCTTTAATTTGATAGTTTAACTTTGACTTAATAGCTTTAATTGATAGCCAATTCTAATTTAGGATCATAATGTTAATATTGAAAAAGATTAGGGATAAAACTAAGGAAAGTTTTTCCAGAACTCCTACTTTTAAAGGAAGTATGATTTTCGAATTTCAAAAAATTAGGTTGATAGTATCTGCATGTTGGTTACTATTACTAGTAGCCTAACTCAACACACGTAGCACAATTAAAACAAAAAATTTCATCCAAGCTTTTAGATTCAGAATTTTAAATCCATAAATCCATAGTTTCCTATAAAAAGCCACAACTTCTAAACCTACTGCCTTGTAATATTCCATCTCAGCTTTTCTTACTCATAATACTTTTTTTTCGTGGTCTTATATGATGCCTTCTTAATTTTTGGTGCGAGTTCTTCCTCATTTTTACCAATACATGGATGCTTCAGAAACATCTTTCACCATTTTGCTATTTATAACTCACTGCAACATCATTTTCTTTCTACTCTTATCATTCTTATTTTACCATGTATATAACTCTACATCTTCATCCATGTCCCTAAAAGTATGTTTCGGATCTCTTTAGGTACCAATGCTTCAACACATGAGATAGTCTGTCAGTGCTATACATAATTTCAAAAAGAAGAAATTCAAGGTCACATCAGAGTTAAAAAAAAGCATTAACTAACTCGATATGTCACGTTATGTAACATAGTAACCTTAAATGCTACATAGAACTTCGAAATGGCACAACTACATTGTAAGTTTACATTATAAGAACCTCAATTTCTTTGAAGGCAACATTATTTTTGGTGAAAAGTATCCAGCTAGAAGACGACAAGTCACGACATTTTTGTCAGCACTTTACAGGATATGATATCCTCTACATCTTATTTTGGTTATCTTAATTCCCTACTGTTCGCAATCAATAATTCAATATATCACTTAAGATCCATCTTGTATTAATCTGGTCTTGGCAACCAATTCTTTGATATCACCAATCAGTTAACAATTTCTGTTAGGATTTGGTGTTCATCTCTATCAAGTCGCCCCTTTAGTTTGATAATTCAATTAAGTTGCATGCTTTATCCACTCCCCTCTTATTGGTGAGAATGGTAGAATGGAAATCTATAAAAGTGAAGCCAACTTATCGGTATTCCGAATCTCCGATGATGATAAAAGTTTTAAAATCATATTAGAGGGAGGACATGGCAGCTATCAGTCCTAGCCCTCTTCTCAAAATTATAAAATAGAATGCCGCATGAACTATGCTAATAGATTAGAAGGTCAAAGAGCATGGACAATGAACTATTAATCAGAGTTACGAAACAATTAAGCAATGGTGAAGGTGGCAAGGATATTGCTGCACTTCAATGTCCTACTTCTTGGCTCGTAGACAATATTATGTCCAAGATACTTGTTGATGATAGATTGATAACCAGTTAACTTTCACAGACAAGCAATTGAGGAGTTCATAATCTGGAAGGGAATTGGAATAAGTAGTAGCATGTTGGCTTAAAAATGCAATGCATCAAGTACATTATGGGGTGGCAATAGACTATGCAACACGACAAACATCAAAGGAGAGATGATAAGGTTAAATCAAGGAAAAACGAGCAATTGCTAGTAGGATGTGTTTACGTCCACTTCTTTGTCTTGAAACTACAGAGCTCCCAATTCTATGTATCAGTTCTTATAGATATCATATTGTTACCAAGTTTAAACTCGAACAGTCACTAGACAATCTAATTTGAACTTCCTAAATTATGTAACCAGATGTCTGTCTTAACTAACAAGATATTTGGCTACTTGCATGTTGATTGACGGCCAATGCTATTAGGTGCTTTCATAGATAAGTAAATTATCACAAGCAAAAAGCTAATGAGAAGTGGGAATGGTAAGACAGTTAAACTTGTTTAACATAAAGTTAGGTCATAGAACCATTAACTCTCAAGTCTCACCTGATTCCAACCTAGAGGTGTAAGATGAGCATCAAACAATTCAGGAGATAAGTATGCCTTATAGTCTTTTTCACCTTCCACGTTATGAATTCCTTGTGCATGCCTAACCTGCAAAATAATTTGCGGGGCAAACAAGAATAAGGATCCTTACACAAAAATATCCAAGCGCGTGAGTAAATCAGACTTGCAAGGTTACTTCTTTTCGTATACAAACCAGGTATAGAGTTTTACAGCGATGCAAAGGAAACAGACTAGAACCAGCACTAACATCCATATCTGCAATAAGAAAAGTTAAAGATGGGCATAAGCATTAATTATGGAGAATTTTAAGATTAAAAAATATTAGAATTTCAAGATTAAATGACAGACATGCTCGTATTCCCATACGATGCTCCATAGTTATCATCATCTAATCCATTTCCTATCAGAATTGGGTTGGATGCCGAGGGCAATTTCCATAAGAAATTTCAAATGAAGATTTGATTGCCATAAGATTTATTGACAAGAGAATAGCTCTGATAAACTAAGTGGACCAGTTGGAAAAGAGAAATTTACAAAAGAGGTTATGCAGTTTAACTCAAGAAGCAATTCTCCCAAAAGAATCTTCTAGACTAAAAAAATCTACAGTGAAGATGATTCATAAAGGGGGAATGATGATTTCGCATGGGAACTACAATCATCTCGAGGTATAATAAATGATAATAGACAAGAACCAAAAGAAATAGCATTACCCATCTGTCTCAAGATATGTCAGCAAATAGAGAGAAGTATGAATGTCTAAGTGTCTAACGACACCAAGTTTACAAAAAGGATAAGCACCAATAACAAAAGAGTCCAACGGATTCATTAAGTTCAACTATAATGATCTTAACAAATCAATCATGCCATCAACAACATTGAATTGAAATTCATCACAACATTATGTAGAGAAGTGAGACTATGCTACAATAACAATGCAAAACCTTTATCCAAAATCTTCGGGGTCAAGTATGTAAAGTTTTTTTCTCTATTGAGCTTTGTTAAGAGTCTCCTCTGTTGAAGTAACAATGGCACAAATATATTCAAAATCTATATTTGGTATCCTCCCTTTCAGTGAAATGTGTCATTTAATACGATGTAGAAAGAAAAAACACGTTTTGAAAACTTTTATAACCTGTTTTGACACTCAAGTGTTATAAAACTGAGATAGAAAACCTATGTTGCATTTAACATAGAAAATAACACTGAAATATGTGTTTTAGTTGTATTACATTAAGCGTCGTCTAATGCTTGTTAAATTGAGTTAAATTGGTGATCCGATTTGGATGCATAGCAGTATCTTCACTATCCAAATTAGAATCACACTGATCCAAATAAGGTCCCAATCAAATCCCCAACCCCAATTTCATACATGTGAAAAATGCTAGCAATCGCCCAGCCCCATCTCCAGCGTCTCCCTTATCTCCTCCCACTCCACCTCCTCTTACCCATTCGGTGAGGAGGAAGACCACTCCATTTCTTCCACCTCTCGCTCCTTCGACGAAGACGACTCCACTCACTAAAGAGAAGGCTTTTCTCGTCCTCTATCTCCACTGAAGACAAGGTCTCTCTAGGCCCTACCCAGCTCCCCCATCTCCGCTCGCCAAGAAAGAAAATCCTAACTTCATCTTCACTTCCGGCACTTCTCCTTCTAAACCCAACCCCTTTCGTCAAAAGGTTCTAAATCGTAACTCCTCTTCCGACCCTCCCCCATGTTTGAAAATTTTATTAATTCGAATAATTAAAGTCATTATGGATAGCTTGTATTTATAAAAATCTATTAGCAAACAAAATAACCTACATTACGCATTAAGTTTTTTTAATTAACCCTTAACAAGAGGCAGAATGTTACTTTATGCATTATTGTTTTTTTCAACATTGATTTAATATATAAACCTTGTATTTTGTTATATAGTCAATGGAAGATGGTTGTTGTATGAAACTTCTACTATTTAACTAGAAGTTTATTCTTCAACTTCACGCTGAGCTATTATAATTGAAGCATTTTCTTTAATATGAATCCTTCCTCGGTTCTCCCGCTTGTCGTCAAAGGTACCCAGAACCGCTATGAATTCATATGATTAGGTTGAAGAATCAGATTGACCGACCTGACATCATTGTGCAAATTTTATTCAGTGACTGATTCCAACCGTTTCAAGGAGATTAATAGGTTTTAATCGGTTTCAGAGGAAAGTTTGAGTTTCTTTATTGTCTTTTATTTATTAATTAATTATTTCATTAGTCTCATACAGGGTAGATGAAAGTCCTGCCCGCACCATCTCCTGGTGTGGACCTTCAGAGTTAGAGAGCATAGACCAAAAAATAAAATATCCACTCTCTTACAAGCTCTTTCTCTCCCTCTCTCGTTCACCATTAAATTTTCTACTACTTCCGCACCCACACCCACATGCCCCTCTTTTTCATCATTCTTTTGAGCAAGAGATGAGGATTATCTGAGCAAATGCTTTCAGGCGAGACACTATTTTTGTAGGCCACTGATTAGGCTCAAATGTTAGTATCTCAATTTTGATGTAATTTACACAACAGAAGGTTTTCCCCCCCTCCATGCTCAAGACTCTAAAATTAAGGAGAACCAACATGTGTTTTATGTGAAACCTGATCGGAGAAGCAACTAGGTTTTCAATTCACCACATCTAACCCAATTCATCGGGCCAAGTAAGTACGTTCCTGCGTTTGATTGATAGCTAAGATCATAAAATTCCCAAAGATAACATAGGTCATAGCAAAGCATCTCAATGCAATGGTTGATCATTCTACTAAGTGTTGGACTTTTAACCGTGATTAATTCAAAGAGAATAATCTCAAGAACGCGGAAGCATACCTGGATCCATCTGAATTTGCACGGATCTTAATCTTGGGTATGAGATCTTCTAATCTAGAGGGTTTCTCTTGAGTTTCTCTCTTAGATGGGGGTGAAGAGAATGAGAACCTTAACCCTTAGATTAGGGACCATAACCCCTATATATAGACTTGTAGTTTTCTAATTTAGTCCCTCATTAAATTAGAATTATAATTTGGTATCTGTATAATTAACCCATAACATATTTAAATACACATTGACCCAATTACCTGATTGATCACTTTATACGGATCAACTGCAAAGATAGCAACACACATTGATGTAACATATATGCCCACAAATAATTTAATTAGATTTAAATTCAACAATCTCCCACTTGGACACCAAATGTTTCCTTAAAGTGTGTATAACCGTATGAGCTCAAAAGTAGCTATCACTGATAAGAGTATTTTCAAACAATCTTGTCCATTGAGTATATCAATATAGGATCAAAGCGGCCTTCGTCACATTTATCGTAACTAAACCCATCAATGGTCACATATACCAATATAATCAAACGACATACTGACATAGATCAATCATGGATGTGCAGCATGAAAAATTACATGCAATGTGATCAGTACATGTCTATATTTAATCGCTCCTACCTTAAACTTTAATGAGGTTAACCTCAAACATAATGTAATAGAGTGTATGAACTGAATACTTTATTCTAATTAGACAATACAACCTAACATAAAGCACCACAAATTTCAAACTCCCACTAAGTCATGATATCCTCAAATAATACCACACCCATATGAGCAGTGTGCTCATGAAAGACCTTGGGTGATAATCCTTTAGTAAGAGGATCTGCTATCATGAAGTTTGTTCCAATGTGCTCTATGAATATCTGTCCATTCTGTATCATTTCTTTCACAACCAGGAACTTAATGTTAATATGTTTTAACTTAGTTGAGCTCCTATTATTATTGGAATACATAACTGCTGATTTATTATCACAAAATAACTTTAGTGGTCTTATAATATTTTTCAGAATGCGCAATCCAGTGATAAAATTTTATAGTCATATTTCCTGATTGGATGCCTCATAGTAAGCTACAAACTCTGATGTCATAGTAGAGGAAGCTACAAGTGTCAATTTGACACTTTTTCATGATATAGCTTCTCCTGCTAACATATAAATATAGCCTGATGTAGACTTTCTGCTATCTTAACATCCAGCAAAATTAGAATCAGAGTACCCAATGACCTCCAACTGTTCTGATTTTCTGTATGTGAGCATATAATCTTTTATTTTCTGAAAATACCTCATAACCATTTTTACTGCTATCTAATGATCCGTACCAAGATTGCTTAAGTATCTGCTTAACATCCCAACTATGTATACAATATCCGGACACGTACATATCTGAGCATACATTAGACTTCCTATAGCCGAAGCATAAGAAATCTTCTACATTTCCTGAATTTTAAGATTACATTTAGGGTACTGATTGAGACTGAACTTGTCTTCATTAGCAACAGAGTGTCTCCTAGTCTGTAATCTTGCATGCCAAATCTTTTGAGTACTTTATCGATATAGTTCTTTTATGATAATCCAAGTATACCTCGAGAACGATCTCAATGTATCTGGATTCCTAATATAAAAAACGGGTCCCCAAGATCTTTCACCTCAAAATTCGTTGATAGAAATCTCTTGATTTCGTGCAACATGTCTATATTATTAGTAGCAAGCAATATGTCATCGACATACAGAATCAGAAAAATATACTTACTCTCACTGAACTTGTGATTTACACAGTCATCAACAATATTCATCTCAAAACCAAACGAGATAATTATTTGTTAAAACTTGTAATACCATTGATGATGAGCTTGCTTGAGTCCATAGATGGATTTTCTTAATTTGCAAATCATATTCTTCGGGTCTCCTGTCACATTTTTCTGGTTGCACCATATAAATCATCTCATCAATGTCGCTATTGAGAAATGCAGTTTTAACATCATTCTGATGTAACTCAAAATCAAAATGAGCAACAAGTACCATGATTATTCTGAAAGAGTCTTTCGATAAAACCGGAGAGAAAATCTCTGTATAATCAATTTTTTCCTTTTGAGTAAAGCCTTTAGCTACAAGACGTGCATTATACCTTTCCACATTATCATTTACGTCCCGCTTGATTTTAAATATCCATTTACAACCAATTGGTTTTGCACCTTCTGACAATGGGACAAGTTCCCAAACTTTATTGTCTTGCATATACTTGTACTCTTCATTCATGGCATCAATCTATTTTTGAGAGTTAAAACTTTTCATAGCCTGAAGGAAGTTGATTGGATCATCTTTCAACATTCTATTATTTTCCTCATGTTATTGGAGAAATACAATATAATCATCCGGAATAGCATTTCTCCTTTCTCTCGTGGATCTCCT